TTGATGATGCTGATTACCATTGATTTTTTTGGTTGCAGTACAGCTTTAATTGGTTTCGGAATTATTTCTGTAGTGCGCACTGTATGCAATTACATCAATAATTGTGTCGGGAATTAATAATGTAGGCTCGAAATATTGCCAAGAGCATTTTGGTTATGCATTTCTATTGAGTTGGGAAGTTAGAAAGGAATTTGATAAGGAATTTCCTGAGTTAGAAAGGAATTTGAATACCAGAGATAGTTCTGAACCTCAAAGACAATCGAGTCCGAATTGCCCGAGGAAGCCAGGGCCAGGAAGGGGAAAAAGGAGTTAGAAAGGAATTCGATAAGGAAATTCAAGAGTTAGAAGTTTTTTTTTTTTTTTTTTTTTTTTTTTTTTTTTTTTTTTTTTTTTTTTTTTTTTTTTTTTTTTTTTTTTTTCTTTTTTTGACGCCGAGAGGTTTGGGCCAGGACGGAACAAGGAGTTAGAAAGGAATTTAATTTGGAATTTCAAGGGTTAGAAAGGATTTTTGTTTTTTTTTTTTTTGTTTCTGTGTTGTTTTTTTTGTTTTGTTTTTTATTTACGACGCCGAGAGGTCTGGGCCAGGAAGGAAAAAGGAGTTAGAAAGGAATTCAAAAAGGAATTTCAAGATTTAGAAAGGATTTTGTTCTGTTTTTTACGACGCCGAGAGGTCTGGGCCAGGAAGGAAAAAGGAGTTGGAAAGGAATTTAACACGGAATTTCAAGGGTTAGAAAGGAATTTCGTTTTTTTGGGGTCTGTTTTTTTGTTTTGTTTTTTACGACGCCGAGAGGTCTGGGCCAGGAAGGAAAGGGAGCTAGAACGGAATTTAATAAGGAATTCCAAGAGTTAGAACGGATTTTTGTTTTTTTGGTTGTTTTTTTTCGGGTGTCTTTTTTTTTTTTTTTTTTTTTTTTTTTTTTTTTTTTTTTTTTTTTTTTTTACGACGCCGAGAGGTCTGGGCCAGGAAGGAAAAAGGGAGTTAGAAAGGAATTTAATAAGGAATTTCAAGAGTTAGGAATTTCGTGTTTCGTTTTTTTTTTTTTTTTTTTTTTTTTTTTTTTTTTTTTTTTTTTTTTTTTTTTTTTTTTTTTTTTTTTTTTTTTTTTTTTTTTTTTTTTTTTTTTATATATAATATAATATATATATATATCTATATATAAATATATATATATATATATATGATATATATATATATATATATATATATATATGTGTCGTATTATATATAATAAAAAAAAAAGCATTTTTTTTATATAAAAAAAAAAAAAAAAAAAAAAAAAAAAAAAAAAACGACGCCGGCCGAGAGGTCTGGGCCAGGAAGGAAGAAGGAGTCATAAAGGAATGTAATAAGGAATTTCAAGAGTTAGAAAAGCATTTGTTTTTTTTTTTTTTTTTTTTTTTTTTTTTTTTTTTTTTTGACGCCGAGAGGTCTGGGCCAGGAAGGAAAAAAAAGGAGTTAGAAAGGAAATTAATAAGGAATTTCAAGAGTTAGAAAGGAAATTCGTTTTTTGAGGTTGTTTTTTGTTTTGTTTTGTTACGGCGCCGGGGGGGTTGGGTCAGGAAGGAGAAAAGGAGTTAGAAAGGAATTAAATAACGCCAGAGAGAATTCTGAATCGCAGGCCCACTCGCGTCAGAATTCCCCAAGAAACGCTGGGGCCAGGAATGGGGAAACGGAGTTAGAAAGGAATTCGATAGGGAATTTCCCGGGTTAGAAAGGAATTTTAATACCAGAGAGAATTCTGACTTTCAAAGACTATTGAAACAGAGTTCCCCAAGAAACTCTGGGGCCAGGAAGGGAAAAAGGAGTTAGAAAGGAATTTGATACGGAATTTCCCGAGTTAGAAAGGAATTTTGAATACCAGAGAGTATTCAGAATTTCAGAGACTATCGAATCATAATTCCCCAAGAAACGCTGGGGCCAGGAAGGGGAAACACAGTTAGAAAGGAATGTGGTACGTTCTTTACTGGGTTACAAAGGAATTTTGAATACCAGAGATTATTCTGAACCTCAGAGAGTATCGAATCAGAATTGTCCGAGAAAGTTAGGGCCAGGAAGGGAAAAAAAGAGTTAGAAAGGAATTTCATAAGAATTTTTCCTGAGTTAGGAAGGAATTATGAATACCAGAGAGAATTCTGAACTTCAGAGACAATCGAATCAGAATTCCCCAAGAAACGCTGAGGCCAGGAAGGGGAAACGGAGTTAGAAAGGAATTCGATAACGATTTTCCAGAGTTAGAAAGGAATTTTGAATACCAGAGATAATTCTAAATCTCAGAGCCAATCGCGTCAGAATTCCCCAGGAAACGCTGGGGCCAGGAAGGGAAAAAGGAGTTAGAAAGGAATTTGATAAGGAATTTCCAGAGTTAGAAAGGAATTATGAATACCAGAGAGAATTCTGACTTCAGAGACTATCGAATCAGAATTCCCCAAGCAGCGCCGGGGCCAGGACAGGGAAACGGAGTTAGAAAGGAAATTCATAGGGAATTTCCACAGTTAGAAAGGAATTTTGAATACCAGAGAGAATTCTGAACCTCAGAGACAATCGAGTCCGAATTGCCAGAGAAAGCCAGGGCCAGGAAGGGAGAAAGGAGTTAGAAAGGAATTTGAGATGGAAATTCTAAAGGTAGAAAGGATTTTTGAATGCCAGAGAGAATTCTGAATTTCAGAGACTATCGAATCAGAATTCCCCAAGAAACGCTGGGGCCAGGAAGGGAAAACGGAGTTAGAAAGGAATGTGATAAGGACTTTCCTGGGTTACAAAGGAATTTTGAATACCAGAAATAATTCTGAACCTCGGAGAGTATCGAATCATAATTGCCCGAGAAAGCCAGGGTCAGGAAGGGAAAAAGGAGTTATAAAGGAATTTGATAAGGGATTTCCGGAGTTAGAAAGAAGTTTTGAATGCCTGAGAGAGTTCTGAACTTCAGAGACAATCGAAACATATTCCCCAAGAAACGCTGGGGCCAGGAAGGGGAAACGGAGTTAGAAAGGAACTTAATAGGGAATTTCCAGAATTAGAAAGGAATTTTGAATACCAGAGATAATTCTAAATCTCAGAGCCAATCGCGTCAGAATTGCCAGAGAAAGCAAGGGCCTGGAAGGGAAAAAAGGAGTTAGAAAGGAATTTGATAAGGAATTTCCAGACTTAGAAAGGAATTTTGAATACCAGAGAGAATTCTGAATTTCAGAGACTATCGAATCAGAATTTCCAACGAAACGCTGGGGCCAGGAAGGGGAAACGGAGTTAGAAAGGAATTCGATAAGGAATTTCCTGAGTTAGAAAGACAATCGAGTCCGAATTGCCCGAGGAAGCCAGGACCAGGAAGGGAAAAAGGAGTTAGAAATGAATTTAATAGAAAGGAATTTTGAATACCAGAGAGAATTCTGAATTTCAGAGATTATCGAATCAGAATTCCCCAAGAAACGCTGGGGCCAGGAAGGAAAAAAGGGAGTTAGAAAGGAATTTGATAATGAATCTCCTGAGTTAGAAAGGAATTTCATTATTGGTGTTGTTTTTAACAACAAAGAAACGACGCCGGGAGGTCTGGGCTAGGAAGGAAAAAGGAGGTAGAAAGAGATTTGGTAAGGAATTTACAGAGTTAGAACGGAAATTCCGTTTGCGGGAATCGTTTTTTTAGCTTTTTTACGACGCCGGGAGGTCTGGGCGAGGAAGGAAAAAGGAGTTAGAAAGAGATTTGAGAAGGAATTTCCAGAGTTAGCAAGGAAATTCGTTGTCGGGGCGTTTTTTTTACGACGCCGGTAGGTCTTGGGCCAGGAAGGAAAAAGGAGTTAGAAAGGAATTTTATAAGGGAATTCCAGAGGTAGAAAGGAATTCAAAAAATAATAATATATATATATATATATATATATATATATATATATATATATATATATATATATATATATATATATATATATATATATATAAAAAAGACGCCGGGTGTTTGGGCCAGGAAGGAAAAAGGAGTTAGAAAGGAAATTAATAAGGAATTACAAAAAACAAAAAAAACCCGAGAGGTCTGGGCCAGGAAGGAAAAAGGAGTTAGAAGGAATTTGATGAGGAATTTCCAAAGTTAAAAAGGACTTCTGGATGCCAGAGAGGGTTCTGGATCTCAGAAGCTATCTGATCAGAATTGCCCAAGAAGCGCCTGGGCCAGGAAGGGGAAACGGAGTTAGAAAGGAATCATATGAAGAAATTGCCAGAGTTAGAAAGGAATTTTGAATGCCAGAGAGAACTCTGCATCGCAGGCCCACTCGCGTCAGAATTCCCCAAGAAACGCTGGGGCCAGGAAGGGGAAACGGAGTTAGAAAGGAATTCGGTGAGGAATTTCCAGAGTTAGGAATTTGGAAAACCAGAGAGAATTCGGAATTTCAAAGACTATTGAATCAGAATCCCCAAAAAACTCTGGGGCCAGGAAGGGAAAAAGGAGTTAGAAAGGAATGTGATAAGGAATTTGCAGAGTTAGAAAGGAATTTTGAATACCAGAGAGCATTTGAATTTCAGAGAATACCGAATCATAATTTCCAAAGAAACGCTGGGGACAGGAAGGGGAAACACAGTTAGAAAGGAGTTCGATAAGGAATGTCCTGAGTTAGAAAGGAATTTTGAATACCACAGATAATTCTGAACCTCAGAGAGTATCGAATCCGAATTGCCCGAAGAAGCCAGGGCCAGGAAGGGAACAATAAGGTAGAAAGGAAGTTGATGAGGAATTTCAAGGGTTGAAAAGAAATTCTGAATAACAGAGATAATTTCTGAATTTCAGGGACTATCGAATCAGAATTCCCCAAGAAACGCTGAGGCCAGGAAAGGGGAAACGGAGTTAGGAAGGAGTTCGATAAGGAATTTCCTGAGTTAGAAAGGAATTTGGAACACAAGAGGTAATTCTGAACCTCGGCATACAGGGCGCAGGGGGCATGTGCCCACCGCATCCGCAACGCATCTAGGCTCAAGCCGTTTGGCGCGCGCGATTCAGCCTTGAGCCGTCGAGTGCCCCTAGGCTTGGGCGTTTGCAGGGGCGCCCGCCATGCTGGCATACATGGTCCCAGCCCGCGTGGCGCGGGCCAGCGATCCAGCCGCCCGCGCCGCGCGGGAGAGAGCCGCCGCAGAGTGGAAACGAGCCGAGGCAGAGAGACTCGGGATACCTTGGCCCCGCCCGCGGGTGCACAAGCGCGTTGGGCGCCCCAGCAGGCAGGAGCATTTCCACGATGCAATTTATTCTGCGTTGGAGAAACAGTCTCTCCCTGAAGGCCTGGAGACCGCTGATGTGCCTGGCTGGTGGGGGCGAGGCGTGGGCCTGGTTCGAACTGTCGCCGTTGCAACGGAGGACATGCAACAGGCGGCCCTTGGCGGCCCTCGCCAGGGTGGCGTCGAGGCGGATCCCTGGCAGTTGCTGGAGATGCCAGGGGAAGGCCGCGAGGGCAGCCACGCTAGCGAACGCGGACATGCAGAGGAGGAGGAGGGTGCCCTGGCAGGCGGAGGCGACATGGAGACACCCCCTAAGAAGAAACGTAAGCAGAAGGTGCTGGTGCCAGACGAGGCTAAGGCGTGGTTCCTGGAGTACGTCGAGTACCAGAAGAAAAGGTACGACTGGTCAATGGCGAGGTCGCTGCGCATGGCCAAGGAGCTGGCGCCCGACATCTTCCGAGATGTCCAGAAAGACACCCTTTTCCGGTGGGGCGAGAAGCGTAGCGTGGCGAATACGATGAATGGGAAGTTGTCCAACGTCGCCCTCACGAAGCTGGCGGAGATCGCCCAGGCTACCGCGGTTCGCGTCCCCGTGGCGGTGCCAGTCTATAGGCAGATTTCATTGAACAACTTCGAGTGATGGGTATCGACGTAAAGGTTGAGGACGACAAAGACGGGTTCATGGGCCCTCGCTGGGTGCGGGAGTTCCTTTACAGCCTCGGGCTGAAAGTGGGGGCAATGCCATTCGGGCGGGCGGAAACAGGCGGACATCGACGCCATTCCTGAGGCCGGGGAGAACTTTCGATTGAAGATCGTTTACATCCGCCACGCCCACGACATCGCCGCCGATAGGGTCGTCAACATCGACCAGACATCCGTGCGCGTCTTGCCGACGTCAAAACGCGGCTGGAAGGTGAGCGCCGGAACTCAGAAGTGGGCGGTGGACATGAAGCGACAGTTGACAGTGGTCCTCGCGTGTTTCATGGAGAGGCCCGACGTCTACGCTCAAGTGATTTTCCAAGGGAAGACAAAGGGGTCGTTGCCAGCGGGCGACGTCCCAGATGGGATGGCGCTCACGTTTACAGAGAATCACTGGTCCAACACGAAGACCATGCTCGAACTCGTCGGGTTCCTTAACGAGAAAATCAACGCCGCGGACGGCGAGCAGGAGCGGCCGTGGATCATGGCGTTGGACGTCGCCCCCGTCCACGTGAGCAAGGAGTTCCGTGAGGCGTTGCGAGAGGAGTACCCGTGGGTGAGGACGCCGTACGTGCAGCCGCGCAGAACTTTCTGCGCCCAGCCGCTGGACGTGTCGTACATGCGCTCGTTCAAGGCCTCGCTGGCGGCGTCCGCGTCCAAGGACTTTGCCAGGCAAGTCGTGGACAGGCTTGACGACCAGGGCACTTTCGAGTTTGACTTCCGGTTGTCCGTGCTCAAGCCGAAGCTCGTATTGTGGATCAAGGAGGCTCTCGGCGTGCTCCAGGGGAAGGACCACCTCCGCCTCAGAGGATGGAAGCATGCCAGGGTGGCTCCAGAGGAGTGGGACGACGCCGTCCGGCTGGCCCAGGAGCGCCACGCAGCGAAGGCGCTGTTCCAGAAATCCCAGACCAACGTGGTGCCCGAGGACCCGCCAGGGGCAGATGAAGCGGACGCCCCGCTGCCAGCCCACGTAGATCCCGTCGAGGAGCCTGAGGTGGGTGACGAAGACGACGAGGTGGGCAACGAGGTGATTTTGCTCGGCCCCGACTCGGAGCACGGAGAAGGCGAGGCCCCCGACGAGGCGCCGGGGCCTGGTCAAGTCTTCGACAACGCGCCTGACTCGGAGGACCCCGCCGCGGCGTCGGACGTCGTCCTCGTCGCCGAGGGCCCCGCCGCGGGTGGGGCCGCGACGCCCCCCGGGGCATCGGAGCCATCCACCGCCGGCAGCGGGGCAGCGCCGCTCCCCCCGGCCGCGCAGGATAAGGACATTCAGTGGATGCAGAGGCCCATAGCGCTGAGACTCGTCTACGGGCGGGGGCCGCGCTGAATTCTGGGCTTTCTCGCATTCCGGGGATCGCGCGCCGGACAGGCGCGCGCAGGGGGCCGCGCTGTGCGCAGCGCAGCGCGCGCCGCAGCTTTTTTTTTTCTGGCGTGCGCAGGGGCCGCGTTGCGCGCAACGTAGCGCACGCTGTAAAGTTTGCAATTGGACCGGCGCGTTCGAGATTGTGCAAAGGTTTCCCTAGAGGAGATGTATGCGCTCCGTGGGGTTTCCCTAGAGGAGATGTATGCGCTCCGTGGGGTTTCCCCAGAAGGAGATGTATGCGCTCCGTGGGGTTTCCCAGAGGAGATGTATGCGCTCCGTGGGGTTTCCCCAGAGGAGATGTATGCGCTCCGTGGGGTTTCCCTAGAGGAAATGTATGCGCTCCGTGGGGTTTCCCTAGAGGAGATGTATGCGCTCCGTGGGGTTTCCCCAGAGGAGATGTATGCGCTCCGTGGGGTTTCCCCAGAGGAGATGTATGCGCTCCATGGGGTTTCCCTAGAGGAGATGTATGCGCTCCGTGGGGTTTCCCCAGAGGACTTCCAACGTAATCTACAAGGGGTTGCGGCTTTGGGAGCGCACATCCAACGTAATTTACAAGGGATCGTTGCCCTGGGGGCGTGCATCCAGCGTAAATTACGAGGGATCGTGGTCTTGGGAGCGTGAATCCCGCGTAATTTGCGAGGGATCGCGGCCCTCTGAACGCGAACCCAGCGTACTTTACGAGGCCCTGTGAACGCAAACCCAGGGTACTTTACGAGGGACTGGAGGTGGAGGAGGAGGAATAGAGGGGCGTGTGGCCCCAGGGGACTAGAGTGGAAACCATCCGGATTCGGAGCCATTGGGAGCTCAGAGTCGGAGCCCGGCGAGTCTCCCCGACCCCCAGCTCGCTGGCGAGTGCGCCGCCCACGCTCTCGCACAGAGGGCAAATGTGATTCGGACAGGTCGTAGAAAGGCAGAGTATTAGCTTCAGGCTGCCGCGGGCTGGCAGTTGCAGTGTCCGGACTGGTCGCGGGGGCCGCCCTCCTGCACGCGCCTCTCCCGACCAGAGGTGCCAAGCGCTGTCTCTCCACCCCCAGGATTGGCTCCGGAGGGGCCAGGCTGATGCTCCTGCCGTGCCTGGGATGCGTGCCTGAGGAGCAGGAGGAGGGATGAGGAGGAGGGAGGAGGAGGAGGAGGAGGAGGAGGAGGAGGAGGAGGAGGAGGAGGAGGAGGAGGAGGAGGAGGAGGAGGAGGAGGAGGGAGGAGTGGAGGAGGAGGAGGAGGGGGAGGAGGAGGAGGAGGAGGAGGAGGAGGAGGAGGAGGAGGAGGAGAGAGGAGGAGGAGGAGGAGAGCAGGAGGAGGAGGAGGAGGGGAGGAGGAGGAGGAGGAGGAGGAGGAGGAGGAGGAGGGGAGGAGGAGGAAGGAGGAGGAGGAGCAGGAGGAGGAGGAGGACGAGGAGGACGAGGACGAGGAGGATCTCCCTCCCCCAACCCCTCCCTCGCACAACCCTTCCGTCTCCCAATCCTTCCGTCTCCCAATCCTTCCCGCTCCCAATCCCTCCCTCTCCCAATCCCTCCCTCTCCCAATCCATGCCTGTCCCAATTCCTCCTTCTCCCAATCCCGTCCTCTCCCAATCCTTCCCTCTCCCAATCCCTCCCTCTCCCACTCCCTCGGTTTCTCAACCCGTCCTTCTCCCAATCCCTCCTTCTCCCAATCCCTCCTCCTCCCAATCCCCTCCTCTCCTTTCCGTCCCCCTCCCAATCCCTCCCTCTCCCAATCCTTCCCTTTCCCTTAGATGTCTGACGAGCGCTACTTTAGGACCAGGGCGTCGACGGGTCGGCACGCCAAGCGGGCGAGCAGTCCGCGCCACCGGGTTGTTCGTTGCCCAGAACCGAGTCATGTGCCACGCCGTGTTCATGCACTTCACAAGGCGGCCCCCGTTTTCGTTGTAGCGGGAGCCGCTGAGCTAAGTGCACACAGTGCTCCCATGATCTTCTGAGATTGTCTGTTGTTTCGTCATTTTTTTTTTTTTTTTTTTTTTTTTTTTCTCTCTCCCCCCCAGGATCTCTTTCTCTATCCCATATTTGTTTGTTCCTTTTTCCCTTCGGCGCATTGATCCATTTGGTGGCTGTTTGCGAGAGGTTATTGTAGGTTCTAGCGAGATGGTAGAAACGCACCAGCGGAGCCCGCTCACTCGATGATGAGAGAACTCGTCCCAGCCAAGCTGATCCAATTTAAGAGTTACGAATCAACCACGTGAGATTTCCCTGAGGAGCGAGTGGCTTGCGCTGAGCCTGCATCCAGCCTTCTGTGATCATGCGCATGACTCACCTTCGCCGCGTTGTCCACTTGGAGGCAGTTTGCGCCTTATTTTATGTTTTGGCGGGGTGGTAGAATCACGCCGACGGAGCCCGCTCACTCGATGATGATAGAACTCGTCCTTGCCAAGGTGATCTAATTGAAGAGCCCCAAGAGCCCCAAGAGCCACAAGAGCCCTAAGAGCCATAAGAGCCCTAAGGGCCCTAAGAGCCCTAAGAGCCCTGAGAGCCCCAAGAGCCCCAAGAGCCCCAAGAGCCCTAAGAGCCCCAAGAGCCCTAAGAGCCCTAAGAGCCCCAAGAGCCCTAAGAGCCGTAAGAGCCCTAAGAGCCCTAAGAGCCCTAAGAGCCCTAAGAGCCCCAAGAGCCCCAAGAGACCAAGAGCCCCAAGAGTCCCAAGAGCCCTAAGAGCCATAAGAGCCCTAAGAGCCCGAAGAGCCCGAAGAGCCCTAAGAGCCCCAAGAGCCCAACGCAACTCAGCGCCCCACCTCCGTTTCAATCGGATTCTGGCTCAGGCCTCCATCGATACCTTTTCATATGATCCATATTTCCATATTCTGGTCATGGTGGTTATCACCATCGGCCGCTGTGCCATGATGGGCCTCATCGGCACGTTCTTCCATGGCGGTTTCACCAGCCTTCACTGAAATGCAACAGGCATTTCCAGAACCTCCAGCTGACGGCGACGCTGGAGGCAGCTCTGGGCCCGACTGCCGGTGCTGGTCGCAGTTGCCCTTCACGCAGTTCAACGCCGACGAGCAGCGGGTTCTTGACAATCCCTTCTTGGGCAGTTCCGGTTGCGCGCGGATTGCGACATCCCTCGCGTCGGACTTCGTCCTTGGTTTTTTCGGCGATCAGCTGCTCGACGACGCGGTCCTGATGAGGAAACGCTATATCGAAGGAGTCCGAGCTTGCGACCATTCCAAGGCCACTGCCGGCGACTATATTTCTGAATTGTTGACGCTTCGCGTATCCTCACCAGCCCACCAGGAGGAGGATGAGGAGGAGGAGGAGGAAGGAGGGGGGAGGAGGGAGGAGGGAGGAGGAGGAGGCAGGGGCATCTTGGACCTTGGCCATCTTGGACGCTCTGACCGCTCGCTTCTTCCCCTTCGGGGAAGGGTAAGCCCTTCCCCGAAGGGGAAGAAGGAGGTTGGAAAAGGAAGCTCTCTGAAGCACCTACGCCCAGAGGGCTGGTGGGATTGCGCCACCCTTTCCTGGAGGCGAAAACGTTGTTCGTGTTCTCCACCCACCAGTTGGCCTTGGCGGCGTGCTCGACGAGGCTGCCGTGCGCCTTCGTGGTCTCGGCGTTCAAGATGAGCGGGTCCCTCGCCGCGCCGTCGCACACAGGCGACTCCACCGTGATCCTGGCGAGCGAGGGCTTCCTCTCGTTTCACGACAGCCACACTGGCCGCACGCTGCGTGTGCCGGTGACGGACGCAGGAGGCGCCGAGGCTTTCGTCGAGGAAATTGTTGACGCTTCGCGTATCCCCACCAACCCATCCAGAAACGATGCCCATGAGAGCTGACGGGGGCAGGGAGGAATATACATAAGTCAAGCAGCGCGGGCAACAAGAGTGTTTTTTTGGAGGCCTCTCCTCTTGGAGCGCTTGTTTTTTTTTGGATGCCTCGAGGATGCTCTTGAGGTCTCTTGGGGGTCTTTGAGGCTCTCTTGGGAGCCTCTCGGACGGCTCGTGGGGCCGTCTGGGCGGCCCTTGGGACGTCTGGGGGGTCTCTTGGCCCTCCTGGGGGAAGGCCTCGTGAAATCATGTGTTTTCTTTTAGTTGTTGAAAGACTTTTGGCCTCGTGGAGGCCTCCTTGGGAAGCTATCTGGCCTCTTAGAGCCGTCTAGGAGCGGTCTTGGTGTTTCTTTGAGCATCTACGGAGCCATCTTGAGGCATCTTAGGCTATATTGGCCCATCTTGGAGCTCATCTTGGGCTTTCTGAGGCGCTCTTGGAAAACGTCTTGGGCCATCTTGCCCGCTCTGACGACTCGCCCCCCCCCCCGAAAGATAAGAAGGAGTTTGGAAGAGGAAGTTCTTTGAACCATCTACGCCCAGAGGGCTGGTGGGATTTTCGCGCACCTTGTCTCGCGCCGCTGCCGCGTCGAACAGCTGGAGGCGCATCGCATTAGTGCGGCGGGGTTGCCGGAACATGCCCGGGAGAGCCTTCGCGACGAGCTGATTTGCAAATGCGGCGCCGACCATGGCAACGTCCGTTTCGTGAAGGCGTTCGCGGCCATCGCCCCGGTCGTGCGCAGGAGGTGGGCGAGCGAACTGCACGAGATGGGCGATGTGCAGGCCGGAGGGGGAGGAGGAAAAGGACATCTCAGCGGAGCGCGAGCCCCGCGAGCAGGGCGAGGGCGAGGGCCCGCGAGCAGGGCGAGGGCGAGGAAGAGGAAGCGGCGGAGGCGCGCGAAGAGGAGGCGCGCGAAGAGGAGGCGCGCGAGGACGGGCGGGGCTCGAGAGCCCAGGGAGAGGAGGTCAAAGAAGAGGAGGAGGCGGACGAGGGGCATGGGGAAGAGCTGGTGTGCAGGGCCCGCTTCGACTATTCGAAGGACCTCCAACGGGAGCTCTTGCGCAGGCTTCCGAAAATGCACGCGCTCCGCGCGGAGATCGAGGCCCCCCCCCCCTCCTCCTCTTCCTGCTCTGCTCCTCCTGCGGCTGCCGCTGCTCATTCTCCTCGGCCCCCGGGGCAATGCAGGCCGCCGGGGCGGGCGACGGGAACTACGAGTTGGCGCAGCAGAAGAAGGAGGAGCTCCAGCAGATGTCCAACGAGCTGCAGAATTGCGGTTTGCCCATGTGCGCGTCGTGTTTCGTGCATTATCCAGCTACCTGCGGTAAGTCCCGCTCTTGGCATTACCCAGATGCCTGCGGAGGCATATTGGGCCATCTTGGCAGCCTGGTGAGTTTCCTGGACCGCCATGGGAGCCCTGACGAGCCCCTACCAGACAGCCCTTCGTATTCTCCCGCGCCTCGACGTGTCGAGGCACGGTGGCGGACCCCGCTGGGCCGGCCCAGAAATTCGGCGCCGAGACGTGGATTTACCGAGAGCACAAGGTGGTGTGTTCGTGGTGCGGCGACAGGTCCCTCAGCGACCCTGCTCTGCGGGGGTGGGCCAGGCAGCACCTTTCCCACGTGAGAGGATCGCTCCGCGCGCGAGCCGGGTGGCTGTATCACAAGGCCATGCAGTTCGATGAGCAGCAGGACATCCCCAAGGTAGATCTGAAAAAATTGTTTGCGCTTCGCGGATCCCCGCCAGCTCATCCAGAAGCGATGCCAGAGGGCTGATGCTGCCAGAGGGGGCTCTTCTGAATGGTCTTGGGGTCCTCCTGGGGCTCTTTTGGGGGTCTTGGGACCCTCTTGGGGCTCTCTTGGGGGCCTCTTGGGAGCCTTGGAGGGCTTCCTGGGGCCATCTTGGAGGCCATCGATCACAAGAGGGGGGGGTCCTCGATTGGGGTCGCCCCCTCGGGGGCCTGAAAGTGGCCTCTTGGGCCGCTCTTGGGGCGCTCTTGGGCCCCTCTTGGGCGCTCTTGGGGCCGTCTTGGGGGCTTCTTGGGCCCCTCTTGGGGCTCTCTTGGGCCATCTTGGGGCCTCAAGAGCGCATCGGAAGCGAAGAAGCGGGAAGGCCAAAATCTTTGATTTTCTTTAAGTTTTTTGATGGGGTTTGGCTTCCTTGGCGGTCTTGTGGCCCTCTTGGGGCATCTTGGAGGCATGTCGGAAGCTATCTTGCACCATCTTCGGCTATTGGGCCATCTTGGAGGCCATCTTGGAGCACTGGTGGCCCTCTTGGGGCCATCTTGGGCCATCTTGGGCGCTCCAACTCGCCGCGACCCCCTCCGTCCAGGTCCAGGGGGGGGGGGTAGGGGGGGCAGGGGAAAAAGGGGTTGTCTTGATTGTCTTGACAGAGGAAAGAGAGACATCGCTAGACCACCTGTCGCCCAGAGGGCTGGTGGGGTTGAAGGCTGCTTGGAGAGCTCTCGAGATCGCGCCTGGGGCCGGGCGCGGCCCGCGCCCCGGCAAGAAATATGTGCGTGAACGGTGGATATTGGCACAGGTGCACTTGTTATCCGAACGGTTGCTTTGCGACCCGGTGCTGGAGGCCGAGAGAGCTGCCCTGCTGCTCCTGCTCAGATGCATGAAGGCCCGCTGATTGCACGAGCGCCCCCGGCTCTCTGGTGCCCCAAGCGCCCAGCTGGTCATGGGTGGCCATCTCTGGGGCGCAGATCAGCGTGCGCCATCCGCTCGCTGAGCAGAAAAAGCAGGGGCAGGGAGGGCGGGGGGAAGCAGGGGGACGGAAAGGGGGCGCAGGAGGAAAAGGAAGGGTGGAGGAGGAGGAGGACGGGGAGGAGGGGAAGGTGGAAGAGGAGGAGGAGGAGAGGAGGAGGAGGAGAGGGGGAGGAAGGGAAGAGGAAGAGGATGAGAAAGAGAAGAGGAAGAATAAAAAAGGAAGAGAAGAGGAAGATGAAGAAGGAGGAGGAGGAGAAGGAGGAAGGGGATGAGGAGGAGGAGGAGGGGAGGGGGAGGGGGGGAGGAGGAGGAGGAGGGGTGAGGGGGAGGGGGGAGGAGGAGCATGAGGAGGAGGGAGGAGGAGGAGGAGGAGGGGGAGGGCTTCCGCTTCTGCCTCCTCTTCTCCCTCTTCCTCTTCCTTTTCCTCCTCCTCCTCCTCCTCCTCCTCCTCCTCTTCCTCTGTCCGTTGCAATGTTGTCTCAATCGAAAGCGGCGGCTCGAGGCCGCGCCAGGCCGCGCTGGCCGTGCCTGCGGTGGCCCGTGGCGGCAACGAGCGCGGCCGTGGGCTCGGCCGTTGGCTCGGGAGTGTTTGCGGCCGTGCGCTCGGCCGCGGGCTCGGCCGTGGGTGTTCGAGCGTGGGCTTGGCAAATGGTTCGAAGAGCTCTCCTCCCTCCTCTTCCCCCCTTTTCCCGCCTGGCCTATCTCCTCATGCACCCCCGCCGCTGCGCCGCTGCCCCGCTCCACCTCCTCCACCTCCCCCCTCCTCCTCCGTCCGTTGCTATTTTGGTTCAAACCAAAACTATTGCTCAAGGCCGTGCCAGGCCGCGCTGGCGTTGGGCTCGGCCGTGTGTCCAGGCGTGGGTGCGGCCGTGGGCCCAGCCGTGGGTTCGGCCGTGTGGTCGTTGGGCTCGACGGCGGGTTTGGCCGTGCGGTCGGCCGTGTGTTCCGCCGTGGGTTGGGCTGTGCCTTCGGCCGTGTGTTCGGGCGCGGGTTCGTCCACGGGCTGTTCGGCCGCGGGCTCGTCTGCGGGGTTCGGCCGCGGGTTGGGTTCTGGGTTTGTCCGTGGGCGCAGCTGTGTGGTCGTCCGTGGATTGGTCCACGTGGTCGGCCGTACGACAACGAACAGCAAAAAACAGCAAACGCACCAACAACACCACTTAACACTACGACGACGACCACGACCACGATCACCACTTGCGACGACAACGACGACAACGACGACTACGACGACCCAGAACGGGCAACTATTTTATCGACGATGCCGCCGCCGGCGACGACGACGATGACGACGACGAGTACTACGACTACTACTACTACTACCATTACTACTAGTACGACTATTGTCACTAAGCTTACGACAACTACTAATCGTCAATATTAATCGTCATACTACTGCTACTACTACCACCACCACCACTAATACCACTACTACCACTACTAGTACTACTACCACTATTACTACTACTACTACTACTACTTCTACTACTACTACTACTACTACTACTACTACTCGTACCACTACCACTACCACTACCACTACCACTACTACTACTACTTACTACTACTACTACTACTACTACTTCAACTACTTAGTTTATTTATTTATTATATGGTTTTATTGGGTTTGGTTTTTCTCACTACCACAACCATACCACTCCATACCATACACTAACTTACCATACCCCTACACTACATCTCACTTACCACTACCCACTACTTACATACTGTTAGTACTTAATACTTTAATTACTTTTAATACCACTGCTCGGACTCCTTAGTATTTTTTATACTACCACGATTAACTAATTACTACTACCACTACCACTACCACTGACACTAAAACTACTACTACTACTATTATTTTTCTCAACTACTACTATACTACTTACTACTACTACTACTATACTACTACTAAGACTTCTATAGTACTACTTGATCTTGTTGTGCTATACTACTACTACTACTACGACTACTACTACTACTACTACTGCCACTACCACTACCACTACCACGACCACAAAGGTTCCCTGAAGATACCCGGATTCCCAAGGGTCCCTTGGTGATTGCAGGATTTGCAAGGGTTCCTTGAGGATTCCTAAGGGTCCCCGAAGGATTCGGTCGTGTTTGCTGAGGAGTCCCTAGGGTTCCCTAAGGATTCGGTAGGGCTTCCTGAGGAATCCCTAGGGCCCCCTAAGGATTCGGTAGGGCTCCTCGAGGATTCCCTAGGGCTTCCTCAGGATTCGGTAGGGTTCCCTGAGGAGTCCCTAGGGTCCCCTACGGATTAGGTAGGGCTCCTCGAGGATTCCCTAGGGCTTCCTAAGGATTCGGTAGGGTTTCCTGAGGAATCCCTAGGGCCCCCCTATGGATTCGGTAGTGTTTCCTGAGGAGTCCCTAGGGCACCCTATGGATTCGGTATTGTTTCCTGAGGAGTCCCTAGGGCCCCGTAAGGGATTCCTTAGGCTTCCTAAGGATTCGGTAGGGTTCCCTGAGGAGTCCCCAGGGTCCCCTAAGGATTGGGTAGGGCTCTTCGAGGATTCCCGAGGGCTTCCTAAGGATTCGGTAGGGATTCCTGAGGAGTCCCTAGGGCCCCCCTATGGATTCGGTAGTGTTTCCTAAGGAGTCCCTAGGGCCCCTAAGGATTCGGTAGAGTTTCCTGAGGAGTCCCTAGGGCCCCCTAAGGATTCGGTAGGGCTCGTCGAGGATTCCCTAGGGCTTCCGAAGGATTCGGTAGGGTTCCCTGAGGAGTCCCTAGAGCCCCCTAAGGATTCGGTAGGGCTCCTCGAGGATTACCTAGGGCTTCCTAAGGATTCGGTAGGGTTTCCTGAGGAGTCCCTAGGGCCCCTATGGATTCGGTAGTGTTTCCTGAGGAGTCCCTAGGGCACCCTATGGATTCGGTAGGGTTTCCTGAGGATTCCCTAGGGTCCCCTTAGGATTCGGTAGGGCTCCTCGAGGATTCCCGAGGGCTTCCTAAGGATTCGGTAGGGTTTCTTGAGGAGTCCCTAGGGCCCCCTAAGGATTCGGTAGGGCTCCTCGAGGATCCCCGAGGGCTTCCTAAGGATTCGGTAGGGTTTCCTGAGGAGTCCCTAGGGTCCCCTAAGGATTCGGTAGTGTTTCCTGAAGAGTCCCTAGGGTCCCCTAAGGATTCGGTAGGGCTCTTCGAGGATTCCCGAGGGCTTCCTAAGGATTCGGTAGGGTTTCCTGAGGAGTCCCTAGGGCCCCCCTATGGATTCGGTAGTGTTTCCTAAGGAGTCCCTAGGGCCCCTAAGGATTCGGTAGAGTTTCCTGAGGAGTCCCTAGGGCCCCCTAAGGATTCGGTAGGGCTCGTCGAGGATTCCCTAGGGCTTCCGAAGGATTCGGTAGGGTTCCCTGAGGAGTCCCTAGAGCCCCCTAAGGATTCGGTAGGGCTCCTCGAGGATTACCTAGGGCTTCCTAAGGATTCGTTAGCTTTCCGTAGGAAATCCCTGAGGAGTCCGTAGGTTGCCTTGGGGATCCCGAAGGTTTCCCAAGGGTTCTGTATGGATTCTGGAGCCTCGCCGGTGCTCCCTTGCGTTTGCGTGGTCGGGTGCAGTGTGGAGGAGCAAGGGTCGTGTTGGAATCCGTATT